CCCCGGCGCGTGGGTGTGTGGCTCCCCCCGAGGGGTCCCCGCCGGTAAGCACAGGTGCTGAGTCAGAGGGCACACTCAGACTTTGTTTTGGGGTCCATTAGGCCTGGAGGTTGCGCCGTGGATGCTGTTTCAGAGTCGACTTGCCTGTGCGGCAAGGGCCACCGCTGCCGGAGGTAGGTAGGCGGGGGGGGGGGGGTGCTGGCTGCTGCTGGACGCCATCTCCCAGGGCTGGGTCCCTGCCCTCCACTGGGTTTGTGCTCAGTTGGCCCAGAGCCACCTTGTCTCCTATCTCAGACACCAGGCCCTGAGTGGCCTGGCCCATCTGGTTGTCTAGCCACAACCTTGGGCCTGTTGGGCAGGGTCTGGCCCGGCCTGGCCCCTCTTCCACCTGTCTCAAGGCTGACATTGCCCCTCAGCCTCAGATCTCAACCCCGTGGAGCTGCTTCTTCCTGGGCCCTGTCTGGCTACTGGGGAGCCGAAGTCGTCTTCTGTCCCCTTGAGGGGACAGACCTATGGTGGGGCTAGCCAGCCTCCCTGGTGGAGGCAGCCCACCAGGGGCTTCTTGGCCCCTTCCAGTGCCCTGGGCCCGTGGCTCTGGGTGCATGACGTCTGGGGAGGGAGACAGCTCCTCCTTGAGCCTGTGGCAAGGGATGTTCAGCTGTTCTCAGTGGGCCGGGATGGTGTGGGGGAGGGCTCATTAAAGAGAAAAGTTACAATTACCCCCACAAACCCTTAGCCACCAAGTCCCATTTAGGTTCCTTAATTGCCCCAGGGCCTTTGATGGTAGACATTGGGCCAGCCCAGTGTGTCTTAGCTCCAGAGCTGCTCTTTTGGCAGGATTGCCGCATGGTTTCATGCGTGGGTTCTGCAGTCGAGCTGACTGGGTTTTGGTAACCTGTCATTTCTCAGCTCAGTGTCTTGTCCTTTCTGGCCCTCTGTTTCCTCATCTCTGGAGTGGGAGGAGTCCGCTTTCCCGTGAGACCTCCTCATGTCTCACATGTCGGTGTTTAGCACCGTGCCTGGCTAGCCGTCCTCATCTGGGAGCCTTCTGTGCTGGCATCGTCGTGTTCTTGTGGCTGCAGCAGGGGCTCTTCCTGAGCAGGGGTTCGTCCAGGCCAGAGTGGGGGGCCGAGATGACCGATTGTCTCCAGAGGTCCCCCAGCTCTGCCACAGCTGGCGGGGGCAGCTCGCAGCTGAGGCTGCACACAGGGCTGGCTCCCCGCCTGGCACAGCTGCTTGGTTTCCCGCCCCCGCAGTGATGGCAGGGGGCAGAGGGCCTTGTTGGCCCCTTCCATACCACCCACAGCAAAGAGAACAAGCAGTGGCCAGCCAGTGCATTTGTCTAGACTATGTTTAGAAAGTGCTTTTTAATTTTTTTTTTTCCAGAGGGATTTCTGCTATAGGGTATGTGTGCTCACTGGAGAAACAGAGAAAGTGAGAAATCATCCCCTGGGGGTGGATGACCACGCCATAATCCCTTCTCCTCCATTCTCCTCTTGGGATTTTGGGCATGCACACTCTTAGGCCCATCGTGAATTCCAAGCCACCATGCTTGGGACTCGAACCATGTTTGGCCTTGTATGAGTCCAGTGCTTTAACCACTATGCCACCTGCTGGCCTCAATGCTTTTTCATTAATTTATTTATTTAAAACATTTTAAACTTTATTATTATTATTATTTTCCAGTTTGATCAGACAGAGAGAGAGGAAGAAAAAGAGGGGAAGTGAGAAAGCAAGCCACCAGGTTCAGGGCTTGAACCGCGGTCAGCCACATGGGAGTATAGCGCTTTTAACCACCATGCCACCTACTGGACCCCCCAATGCTTTTTTTAAATGAAGGTTTTATTATTATTATTAATTTTGCTGTGGGGTGTGTGTGCTCACCAGAGAGAGAAAGGAGAAAGAGTGAGAGAGGGAAAGTTGAGAAATCATTCCTGGGAGGATGACCACACCATAATCCCTTCTCCATTCTCCTGTTAGGATTTTTGGGCACACATACACAGGCACCTGGCGTGTTTCTCAGGCTGCTGGATTTGAGGTTTGAACTGCGCAGTTGGCCATGTGGGATCCAGCCACCTTAGCCATCACCACTGGCTGGTTAGAGATTTTGAAAAAGAAGCTTATTAACGATAAAGTGTGTGTGTTCGTACATGAGAGAGAAGGACGTCCTCCCAGGGTCTGGTGTGCTGCGACCCCTTCCTCCAGGTCTCCAGCTCGTTGGCCCCCGGTGCACACTAGCCTGGCGGCTTGAGCTCACAGAAGGCACGCCACGAGGGAGTCAGGCGAGCTGTTCATCCAAAGCTCGGGTGTGCCTGGTGCGGCGCAGGCGGCCCTGGCTGGGGGTTTGTCACCGCTGTACCGTGGAGCTGGCCCAGAAAGCTATCTTTTGTTTTGAAATGATGCTTAATTAATTATTTTGAAATTAAGCAAGTTAATTACGCTTACTCAATTTGAAATTATGACTTTATCTTGCCCTTTTAGGGGTTGAAATTTTCCATTTTTATAAAATAAAGATGATAGTAGATAGGTTTATTTTTGCATTTCTCTCTGTTTCTGTGTGTGTGTGTGTGTGTGTGTGTGTGTGTGTGTGTTTTGGAGAGGTTTTTGCTATAGGGCACATGCGCTCGCCAGAAAGACAGAGAGAGACAGAGAGACAGAAAGCGAGAAATCCCACACACA